GTCCCGTTGGATCAAGTTTTTGACCGCAAAGCGACCGCGATGTTTCAAGCCATTCCACATGCGACCCCTTGGCGTTTTAGATCGACGTCTATCAATTATACCTCTGATATTGACATTTGAACGTATTTTCTTCCAAAACAGATCCTTCCTACTGTCTTCTTTTTTTTAATTATGTCAAGTTGCCATCGTGACGATTGAGCGTGGAAAAGGCTTGTGGAAGGCCTCAAATAATCCATGTGTAACACACGGCATCCCCAAACGCAACTTAACGAGTCTTTTGCCGCGCCCCGGCCATTTTTCGCCTTCAATTCGTTCGCCTTCTCTTTTTTTTTGTTTTTCGTTCCGGGCCGTTCTTCATCATCGAAATCGTCGTCGGCTTGTCAGCTACGCAACAAATTGATTACAAATTAACTTTGGAGAAGGGGAAAAAAACGGCCTCGTGCGTGACATTTTCTAGACGTTGTTTAATTGAATCCAAGCTTTATCCACTAGGATTTTCCCGGCCAAAACTCCATTCTTTTTCCTATATGAATTGGATAGAAGAGAGTGGAGTTTGATCATTAAGGAATCTCAAACTTGTTTCGAAAGGCTTTTTAGAAAATTTACGGTTTGGACTTCTCAATATGTTTCAGAATCCGTGTGAGATTCCAAGACACACTACAAAAATAATTTCAAAACGATCTCAAAGCGAAAAACCGTCTTATTTTAGGTCAAATAATACGGATAAATCTTCAAGTAGTCCAAAAAAACTTTCGAACTAACTTCAATCGATTTCATTAAAACGTAGTTTGTAAACGTTTCGAAACTGACAAAAAAAGGCGTCTTCAAGTATTATTCCCTCGAAACACTAAAGTTTAGTCAACGGTTAAAAATAGTTTTTTTGTTTGGAGCTTTTTGAAAAATTCATGGCTCCGACGGAAAAAAATTCCAACCTTTGCTCTATTTTTTCATGAATAAAATATTCTCAAAACGCGCATAGAGCATATATGTCATCTTTAAGGCCAAGGAATCTTATAAGTTTCAAGATAAAGTTTGAAGTTTCGAGGCTTACAGGAAAAGTGAACCGAAAATTTCATGAGTTATATTCAACACTACAGTTTTTGGGATGTGATTAGTTTCACAAGAACATTTTCCAGTCATTTTTCTCCAAAAACACATAACTCAGCCATACAAAGCCAATCAAACAAGAAACCAATGAAAAGCCAGTTCTTTTGGCACGCGAACGGCTTGTTGGCACTTCGCCCGAGGCTTTGGACATCTGCCCAAAATCGGAGATAGATGGAATATATATCTGTGTGTGTAACTTGATACACCCGCAGCCTCGGCGTTCTTCTCTTTTTTCTCTTCTTTTATCCTTCCGTGAACTTTTTCCCACAATATTTCATATAATTCGTGGCATCACGTCTTTCTTATAAATAACCAACGTCATTGTTTTTGTTTTGACGTCGTTTCGAGGCACTGCCATTTTGTTGATTTTGTTCTTTTTTACTCGCCATTTCTTCCCAAATCTTCGTTTTGGCTTGAATAATATTCTGGTCTTCTTTACAAGCATAACTTCTCGAGAAGGTTGAAATAAGGTAGAAAAAAAGTACGCCTTCAAAATGTCAAGTGCGCCCCAACGCTAATTTGCGCGCCGGTCAGCGCGCGTAAAAACAGTTGAAATTTCATTTCGAGCGTTCTTTTTTTATTCATTTCTTCTGAATAAAACTTTCTTCTCTTTTTAAATTTTCATTAGATATTTTTCAAAAATTTTTTTCTTTTCATCAAATTTCAACTTTTTTTAAAAAAGTTTTATTGAAATTTTTTTAAAAATTTTTTTGTTTGAAATCATCATTAAAATGGCAAAAAAAGGTCGTGACTCAACTTTTTTTCGTGTTTCGTAATCAGATCGAGGCGATGCGTGCGTTTTGGTGACCATTCTGGAGCACTGATTCAATTTTGGTCGCGATGAAGTTGGCGGAAATTGATTTTCGTTTTTCCTAAATTCCTTCAGAGCAGTCTTCCATCGCCCGCTGTTCACGTAGGCATGTAGGAGTTTCTGAGCGCTTTTTAATAATTTTATTTTCGTTTTTCGTGGGCGTTTTTTGTTTTTATGGTTCTAAAGTTTCTTACTGCACAGATGAAAGTTTTTGGCGAGTTTTTCATAATCGTTCGAAATGCCTGGGTTTTTTACAGGCGTATGAGTCATGCATGTATCAGAAAGATTTTTTTTTTCGAAAAAGCACAAAAGAACGTGAGAAAATGGTATAGTTCGTAAACAGTTTTAATTCAATCAAGACCAAAAAAGAAAGCTCTGAGAATAAAAACATTTTAATTTGTTATTGAAATATGCAATTATGACATGATGTAATGTTTGTTTCGAAAAAAGCCGTATAAAGTCGCTGTCCCGTTTCAGTTTTGTCATTCGGAGGAGATTTTCTTCTCCTTTTCCCCATTTTTATGATATTTTTTCCTTGACTGGGCTATAAAATTTCGTTCCAGAATCTGAAAGTCGTATTTCTCCTAGAACCGGTTCAGTGATGAACTTTAACTGCTCGTCAGATAAAGATCAATCGAAAGTAGGAACTTGACGAATAAACTTTCCGAAAGATAGTTCTCCCCGAGAGTCCACCTTCATTTTTTCTCGTTTTCTTTGAAGTGGAACGTTGTTCGCGTCGAAATTGACCTCGTGCGGCGATTTACCCACGAGTTTATTGAGGTGTTCCTTTGAGGTTTCGGGAGTTCGGACCTTTAAGGATCTCTGTCTTGAACCGTAGTGGGAATTTTTGCTGGAAAAAGAATCTTCAGTGCCTTTTAACCGAAATCCGCGATAGAAGTGAGAAAAAAAGTCTCGGAGTTTTTGAGGATTAATTTAGATCATTTTAGTTAGTGACTATAGGGTTTTTTTAGCGTTATTTCTTCAACTTTTTTTAATCAATTAAAAAAATTTCCTAGTGAAATTTTATTCAAAAATAAGCTTTTTTCCGACATTTCGAAGTTTTTTTCGGTACAGTCTATGAATAAAAATTTACACCAATTAATGAATAAAGCTAGTAAATTAGTTTTTAGTATTTTTTTTCCAGTCTGTGCCGGCTTCAGTAAGCAAAAATGCTTCAAAAAGAAACTAAATAATATTTTCTGGATTTTATCAGAAAAGATGTTCCAAACCGAATGGGCTAGATTACAGTTTAGGGGAAAGCTACTCCGATTAAAAACGGATTATGACCCTGAAAAAGTGGAAAATTTGCTTCCTTTAGTATTCAAAAGTTACACATTCTTCCCAAATTTTGTACCTTTTTCACTCAAGTTCAAATCGAGATCCGTTTCCCAATTTCATTCGCGGTGACAAATTGGACAACATGAGCAGATCTGAGCGAACGGACCAAAAGAAAGGAGAAAAAAAGGCGTGTGGAAAATCAAAGCGATCGATAGTCGACGCGGCGCCCGCCGGCTGGCTGGCGGTGCGTCATGCAATCTTATACTTTCGTTCCTCCCGTCGCTATTTTTTTGTTCATTTTTTTCCCGCTTTTGTTCCCCGTATTTTTGTTCGTTTGAGCTTTTTTCAATTGTTTGAGGGTTTTTTTCTACCAACAGCAGCGCAATTTTTGGTCTCTTTTCAAACTTTTGTGGTTTCTAGCGAACTGTCTTGAAAGTTGGTGCAAAGTTTGTAGTTAGAAAAAGCTTGATCACTTTTTTGACGCTGAACTTATCGAAAAAGAAAAAAGGTAGCTGCGGCAGGGTTCTCTTTTTTAGGCCTGAAATTTGAAAAAAAAAACCATATATGTACTTTTTCAAAGCTTTTAGCTTTTTTCAAAAATCCTGGTTGACGTTTTCAAAGGAGCATAGGTTTCCAAACAGGTCTCGAGGCGAAAAAGCCCTTTTTTTAGGGTTGTTTTCGGAAATTGGAACAACAAGAAAGCGTTTTTCGACTGACCGATAAAAAAATTTTTATAAAGTAGAAAAAGATCTATTTTCAAGCCTTTCCGATCAAAAAGTGTACAAAAAGTCGTATTAAAATCAAAAATTCGACTCTCATAAGGAAATTTTGTGAAAAGACCCACGAATAAAATAAAAATAGCTCACACCCATAAATTTTTGTCTTTCCGGGTTTCGGCCAGTTGTTTGGGTAAAAAGGACACGAAGATTGGTTGTTGGTGTCCCAAGATTGTTTGCAATCTCTCAGTTTTTTTTTCATTCCCGTTTGCATGCCATTTTCTCCCATACTTATATACACATTTTATCTCAATCAAGACTGTTTTGTCCCCTTTTCAAAACCATTTTTTATCTTTCTTTTGTTTTTTTTTCCATTTGATTGCTGCTCCACTCTTTTTTGTCACACGGGGGCCTATTAGTATTCGAAGCTTTTTTTTTTCGCGCCCACGTTTATATCCAATTTACCCGCGCTTCCTTCCTTTCCAATGGTAATTGGCCTTTAATGATGTCGAACCTTTTTTTCAGGATATGGGGAATGATAGAAAGAATATATTCTTTTTTGACTTGGATAGTGGGAAATTCATTTTTTGTGACTTTTGTGTTGGAGAGAAGTACAAGCATTTATTTCTTGAGTACATATTTCCCTGGGTTTCAGGGTTTAAACATTTTTTTTTAAGTTGAAGAGAAGTTTTGAAGAACGAAAATTTCCAAAATAGATAGGATTTTACTGAAAATCTGTTTCCCACGAGTATCCAAGTTAGATTGAAATATATTTTATAGAAATTCTGTTGGTTTTGGAGAGTTTCTTAATGATCCGATGACTGAACGAAAGTTTTTAAACGATTTCAAAGATTTTCAATCGAAATAAAAATCTAAGGAACCACCTTTTTTATGCCCTTTCATCGTTTTCATCGCAACAATTCCCTCGATTTTCACACGTTTTTGTCGTTTTTCTCCCCTTTTTCCTTTTTTATCAATGCTTTTTCCAGGGCTCGCATCAACTTGGGGCCAAATTCACCTGAACCAACATCCAACAACAACACAAAAACCGAAACGAAGCCAATCTTTTGTCAATCGAGAAGAAGAAAATGACGAGCGACGGCGATTTGAACGTGGACAACCTCATTACCCGGCTTCTTGAAGGTTATATAAACCCCAGAAATATCTTAGATTTGATCATGTTTTTATGAGATATTTTACTACAAGAAGGAAGATTTTTTTCATATTTCAGTAAATTTTTTTCGGTTATAGAAAAGTAATAATGAGGATTAATCTCTTTTAGTTGAAGATAATCAGAAAAAGAGCAGAAATAATCAAATTTTCACAGTTTCGAAAGAAAAATTTAATTATAAAATGAAGTTTTGAAATTCCTGGTTTTTCATTTCTAAATTGTCGATTTATCGAAAAATCGCTTTGACTCGAGGCTTGGGTCAAGGTTCAAAAAGTTTGTTCAAAAAAAATGACAATTTTTTGAAAACACCTGATATTTGTATCACCTGCTGTGACGTGAGACGTCTAATTTCATTTTCTAAGAAATTCTGATGAAATTTCTGAACGGATAAATTTTTTTATAATGTTAAGATTTAATGTAGTTCGAGAAGAAATTTTACAGAAATTTTTTTGAGAATTTTTTTGAAGTTTTGAAACTTGAGTATGTGATTTTTCTTATATGAAGAAGCTTCAGGTTTAAATACTCAGATTTTTTTGATTTGAATTCAGTTTCATTTTTTTCGATGAAACGTTCAGAAGCCATAAATTAGCACAAAACGGCTCTTCGCCCGAAAACCCTTTAAGAAATTTGTCCATGCTTCTTCAAAATTTTAGGAGCCTTTTTCGAAGCAGAAAAAAAAGTCCTAGTTCGAAAATTTTGATCATCCGAATTTTATCATGCTAAAAGGGCACATTTCTCAATTTCACTTGAAAGGTTCTCGAAAAATACATTAACATTATTATTATTATTATTATCATTTTTGCAGTCCGCGGATGCCGACCGGGAAAGCCGGTGACGATGACGGAGGCCGAAATCCGCGCCCTGTGTCACAAATCCCGCGAGATTTTCCTCTCGCAGCCGATTCTTCTCGAGCTCGAGGCTCCTCTCAAGATTTGCGGTCAGTTTTTGGGAAAAGCTGGTCAGAAAGCAGAAAAAAAAGCAAGAAAATTGAGACCTTTTTCTGCTGAAAATATTCGAAAATCAGCTGCGGATTGTCATCTTCAAATTGAGTTTTCCCCTTTTTGGAGGTTCAGAAATCTCGCCCGGAATAGTTTGGATGAGCTGTGGGAGGTTCAGAGTGAACTTGGAAAGTTAAAAAAAAAGCATGCGGAAAAATCGTAAAATTTTTGATTTCAAAAGTTTAAAAAGTGATGAGGCTTTAAAAAAGGAAAATCGGTATTGATACTTTCCAAAAAATCTAGCGAAGATTTTTTCGAAAAAGGTTGCTATGTAAATTTACGCTCTACACTTTCTTTTTACTTCTAATAATGTGAAAAGAAGTTTCTTTACGTTGAAAATCAGATAATGTAACCAGTTTCCTCAATAATTTGGGATTTTTACACTTTCCTCACTCTTTACAGTACACGCGAGTCACAAGAAAACTGAAATTAGATTTTCGATCAAAAAAAAATGAGAGAACTTGATACCTCCATGTGAGGAAATCAGATTAAAGATTTTATCGTTTTGGTTGTTTGTTTCCTGGAAAAATGGGTTTTACCATCTTTATGATCCATCTTGATGAAAAGTAGGGAAAGAGCGGGTGAGAAAAGGGAATTGAAAAAAGGGTTACAAAAAAAAGAAACGATGGTTTCATGTCGCTGAACCAACAAGAGAACGTTTTTTGGCCCTCGGATGAACTTTTGATGAAAATTGGCTGAAGGGCACTTAAGGGCCTCATTATCCCAAAGTAAAGAAAAATTCTCGCTATAGATTTTTATTTTAGAGCATTGAGAATTAAATATTTGCAAATTATACAAATAACGAGAAAAAAAAACCGTAAAAAAGTTTTGAAGCTTCACAACTGGGAAACATGAGCAAAAAGATTTTATTTTCGAGAAAAGGGCCTTTTTCCTTGTTCTGCATCAAGAGGTCCTAGAGTACACTACAGTCAAGTTTCATCAAAAGTTCCCTTTGTAATATTTTAATAAATCAATTGAAACATATTTTTTTAAAAAAACCCCCCAGAAAAATAAAAAAATTAAAGAGCAAGTTAAAATGGAGAGTAGAACTTGAACAAAGTTGAGAATAAGTTTTCGAAGTTCGAGAACTTTTTGAAAATTACGGCTCGATCAAGTTCAGAAAGAAGCTCAGGATTAGTTGCCGGCGAGATATGACATTATATTAGTTAAAAGAAAAGTTTTTTTTGAAATCAATAGGAAACTGTTTTCTCATTTATTCTTGCCATCAAAGTTTAAAACTTTTTTTTTCGAATTTTTCTCTTAATTGTCAGGATTACTCTGTCTAAAATTGAATTTTGAAAATATCTTTTTACGTAGTTTCTTATTGAGAATGTTTATTCTATTGAATCAAAAATAGCTTCGAATTCTTATAAGCTTTTTAATGGTGACCACATATGGGCACATTATTTTAAAAGGCCTTCTGTCCCGAGTTTTTTAAAAATTGAAGTCAATAGCATCTTATGAAGTTTCTTATTTTCGTCAATATTACTTCACTAAAGTTGAAACTTGGTGGGAATATAATCAAACTTTTTTTCCTGAGTTTTCCTTCAAAAAATCCCCATTCTCGGGATATTTGAGTGTTCAAACATAATCAAGTGAATGAACGTTCGATTCCAGGAGACATCCACGGGCAGTACAACGACCTTCTGCGACTCTTCGAGTACGGCGGATTCCCGCCAGAGGCCAACTACTTGTTCTTGGGCGACTACGTCGATCGTGGAAAGCAGAGTCTTGAGGTGAGAAAAAAAAGTCGATTCATTGTCGATTTAAAAAAAAAGTCAATTCATTGTAGATTTTAACTTTTGTTACGTTTTCCATGAAGTCTCAGATTCAAGTGATTTTTTTAAAGATCCACACTGATCTGCGAATAAATTTATGATTAAGTAAATAAGGTGACTATCTTTAACTTCGCCCAAAGATCCGCGTTAGGTATGCAACAAGTCACCCTTCTGCTCACATTTGTCAAATAGGGAAAATGTTCAATATTGAACAATAAATTATGGAAATGCGTTCAGACGATCTGCCTCCTGCTGGCCTACAAGGTCAAGTACCCGGAGAACTTCTTCTTGCTCCGTGGAAACCACGAATGCGCGTCCATCAACCGCATCTACGGGTTCTACGACGAATGTTGGTCCTTTAATTATAGAGTTATAAAAAAGACAGTATTGTAGAGGTTTCAAATGTTGAAAAGACTTTTTTTTTAAACATAAGAGATCAGAGATGTGCGTGATCGGCCCGAAATCAGTCGCAATCGCAAACTTTTTTTCAATTTTTTCTCAAAAAAATTTTTTTTTCTTAACAACACTTTCGATCACTCGCTCCCCGTTTTACGAAAATTTCAAGACAAAAAGGTTCGAAAAGTGGCAAACTTTTGACTGCGTTGCAGCACACAGCTCTGTCAGAAACGGAGATCTTCACGGAGATTTCAGGCAAACGTCGATTCTCGATCAAGCTGTGGAAGACGTTCACGGATTGCTTCAACTGCTTGCCGATCGCGGCGCTGATCGACGAGAAGATCTTCTGCTGCCACGGCGGCCTCTCGCCGGACCTCCAGAACATGGAGCAGATCCGACGCGTCATGCGTCCCACCGACGTCCCCGACACGGGTAATTTATTGCATTTTGAGATCAGATTCTCCTTCTTATCTCAATTTTACTCTTTTTAAGTTATCAGAATCTATGATCTGACCGAATTTTAGGCCATATAAAACTTGGGAAGCATTTTTTTCCTGGTGCTTTGAATTTTTTATTTTTCTTTCAAAAAATCGATTTTCAATGCTCAAACAAGTCAACGCCGAAAATACTGTAATCTTCCTTTTAATTTTAATTTTGACTTCACGTTTTCTGCCAGAATTCTTATGTGCGATCCTTCTCTGATTTTTTGTTCTGATACTTGGTTACTGTATACGCGTAAAAAGTGATTAAAACAGCCATAAGAGAGGGAAAAAGACAATTAAATTCCGGAGAGCCAGAGATTATTTTGAGTTTCTCGCAAATTTCTTTGAACACGCCGTTACGAAGTAAAATTTGAAATGCCATCTGTTATACTTAAATTCTCAAAAATTCAAATCCAGTAAAGAAATTTTAAATTTTCCCGTCAAATTGAGGCTTCAAACTGTCAAGCCTTGATATCCTTTTATAATCTTGTTCCTCGTACTTTTTTCAACTCGAAATCTTGATAAATATGGTTTTCAGGACTTTTGTGCGACTTGCTCTGGTCGGATCCGGACAAGGACGTGACGGGCTGGGGCGAGAACGACCGCGGTGTTTCTTTCACTTTCGGGCCGGACGTCGTCGCGAAATTCTTGAATCGTCACGACTTGGATCTGATATGTCGCGCTCATCAGGTCGGTGTACACAAATTGAGAAGTTGGGTGAATTTTTGAATGGGAGAAGAAATGACAAAAAAACATAAAAAAGGTCAAAAGCAGAATCTTATGTCGAAAGCACAATTTTTTTGCAGTTTTATCAAAAAAGCAACTTTTTTTCAAAAAAATTTTGCTAGCTCGATTTTCTGACCAACGTTCCTAATGATCATATGAGGTTTTATATTTTTTTCGGAGTTTTTTTATTTTTTTCATGTTAAGTTTCTGAATTCCTAATTTTTTTTATCAGATAAAAATCTTGAATTGACGCGATTTGAAGCTTATATATCGCCCCTCAATACTGAAATCGAGAGTTTGGGTGCATTTTTAATTTTAAATGAAAGAAGAAAAAAATGAAAAAACAGCGCAGAGTCTTGAGAAAAAAATCACGATTTTATTATATTTTTTTCCTAAAAACGCATTATTTCATCAAAGTTGTTCAGAAGAAGTTTTTTTAACGATCATAGTGAAGTTGCTATTTTTGGTGACATTTTTTTAGCTTCTTTTTTTGGCTCCTAACAATTAGAACTGAAAAAATTTTGAAAAATTAAAATTTGAGGTATTTTTTTAAAGTTTTCTCACCATAAAAATACGTATTCCTAGAAAAAAAAAACAAAAAGCCGAAAAATTCAAGTAAACAAGGTCAGAATCCTGTTTCTAGAAAAAAAGAGTTTTTTCTGCCCAAAAATGCTTATTCTTTGACTTCTTCTTGTGCTTCTACCTTTTGAGCGAAAACCATGTTTGATCAAAGAATTGGCCGCCGCTTTTTTCTTCTTCCCAGCTATTTCCGTTACCTTTTGGCTTTTGAGGTTTTGTTGGAATGTTTGGCGAATGGATTGCAAAAGAGTAGGAAAAAGTAGGGCGATCTTAGAGCAAAGATAGAACTGTTTCGGCTTTTGAAAATATTTTTGAAACTCTGGAAATTGAAAAATGTGCAATACTTTCAATGGTCTGAAAGTTTTTCGAAGCAAAGTTTGTATTTGAATGGCGTTGAGCTTTTTCTTTTGGAAACACCGTTTTATTTCAATTTTAATATATTATAGTTTAGTTTCACATTCCAAAAAGGAGAACTTAAGAGGGAAAAAGTTTTGACTTTTCTCATAGCTTTTCTGAAACAGAAATCTCAGTTTCCCAAAAAAATTTTTTTTCTATCCATTAAAACTTCATTTAGAACATTTTATGATTTTTTTAGGACCTAAGTCTTCTCTCGAGACTTCAGAATAAGCTCTTGGGTTAACGGAAATACCCTTCTTTTTTTCAATTTTTTTATTAAAAGTCGGTAACGATATAATATTTCGTTTCATACCTAAAAAAAGAGAGACAAAACTACTCTAATAATCACTTCTTTTCTTCAATGATCTTTGATAAAGCTAGATGAACGGTCTGGCTAAAAAAACTTCAACTAAAAAAACTTCTTAAGTCTGGCTAAAAACTTCAACTAAAAACTTCTTAAGTCTGGCTAAAAACTTCTTAGGGGTAACTTGAACAGGATTAAAATCTCTTTTTACACCAGATTAATTTTGTCCACAATGATTTTTCTAAAGTAAAAATGTCGAAATAAACTTCAAAAAACGATTTTCAGGTGGTGGAGGACGGCTACGAGTTCTTCGCGAAAAGACAACTGGTGACGCTCTTCTCGGCGCCCAACTACTGTGGAGAGTTCGACAACGCCGGCGGGATGATGAGCGTCGACGAGACTTTGATGTGCAGCTTCCAGGTTCGCGCTTTACTTTGAAAACGGTTTTGTAAGGTTTTGGAATAGGTGGGGACTCAATGAGTTCAAGAGAAAGGGCTGACTTACCAAAATTTTAAGGAAAAAGGTTATAATGTTTTAAATCGAGGGAGGCAGTTTTGACTGAATTTTTGGAGGCAGTTCTGAATTTATTTTAGGACAAATTCGGTTGTTATTAGGATATTTAGATGTATTAGAAAAGAAAAATTGTTTCCTCGGATTTCTGAAGATATTTCTGATCGAGATTTTCACAAAATTAGCGAAAATAATCAATTTTGTTTTAACTTGGATCAAAAAATTTTTTTTTCAAACAAACTTTCTTTTCGAAAAAGTAACTTTCCCGTGACCTTTACCCGACGCGCCATTCATTCTGATGGGATGACCACTTGGCCGGATTCTGTAATGCGATAGCAAATAAAATCAACCTACGCGGCGGACCTCCCACTCAAAAAAAGAGGAAGAGATTTTTTTTTTCAGCGCATAATCTTGTCGCAATTTGAATTTTGGCCTTTTAACGGTGGTTTTTCCGGTGTTTTCGTCGAGTTTCTGGACGTTCAAAAGAGAATTTTGAAGTGTTGCAAGTGGCAAGAACATTTATTTGATGACCCGGGTGAAGGCAAAAATAGCTGCATATTGGTATCAACATTTGCAATTTATGCGACTTTTAAAAGCCAAAAATGAAGAGGTCTAGAAGGAAAATTTTGAAATTTTGTTGACGAAATCATTTCATTTTAGTGTGACGGAGCAAATTTGACCAAAAAGTAACCACAAAAAAATAATTTTGACCCTATGGTCACCCTGAAAAGTACCGTGTAAAAAATCGAAAAAAATTAAAAAAATAATCTTGAACAATAATGTTGAAGGTTCGATTGTTGCACTTCCCTTTCGAAGCGAAAATCCAGAATTTCTCGTGGATTTTCCCCCCATATCCACTCGATTTCCAACGGCGCGTCGTTCAATTAAAAACCTATTCAATCGTGTTTTTTTGTGTCTCTCGTGGGCGAGAATTTGCAAAATTCGGATCAGAAAATTCAATTTTGTTAACCCTTTTCAAAAGGACGCATCGTGTCTTTAAATAAACTCTCAGGAAAGCCGTTTCATTTCATTTTTCATTTTTGATGAATTTGTCTTGAACAGCATGGAGAAAAAAGTTCCTGGCAAAAAATGGTAGGACATGTTGAGGGGCTAGCGAAAATAATCACGAAGTTTTTGGTTACCTGCCTCAAAATTTTTACCATGAGTTTCACCTCTGTGAGAGATCATCTTTCTCTTTTGAAACCCACTCTAATCAAATAATGACGTTTTTTCGGTCTCTCCGTAGTTTGATCCAACCTCCAACATCACAGTGATCTTTCTGTTATTTTCCCCTCAAAACGAAGGTTGGATAGCAGGAAATGAAGAGCAAAAGCCACTCAAGCCTCATCTTTTTTCACGTCGCGCCAAGTGGCATATCTCGATTGACGTTCCGAAACCGTTTCGCTGAACTATTTTTTCGCGGTAAACAAACGGCAGCTTTTTCACGTGAATCTTTATGGGTCAATTTCCGAGAAATCAAGAATTGGAAGCTCAAGTTTCCTGTTTTTTTATTACTGTGAGGATCTAGGAGATCTTTGAGCATTTTTGCTTCGAGAAAGGATTTTCAACAAAGATGAATGGATGATGGAAAAAAATCTTTTTACTTGAAAGTTTTTTTTCAAAAATGAATCTTCAAGGCTCATTTTTTTTTTACGAATTTTTGCTCTGTAGAACTAGTAACTTTTCTAAAACTTCAGTCTATCGGAAAAACCTTCTCTGGTCTTTGATCCTTTTTTTGAAAATTGAGCTTACTCTTAGATCTCCCAGATCCACCAAGTTGATGTATTTTTCTAAGCCACATCCTAATTTTGAAATTTTCAAAATATCATGTAATCACTATTGAGCTATAAAGTTCAGTATTACGATAAAGTTGCTTCTTAAGAAATACTCGAGAAATTACTCAGGTTTTCATGTCGGCTTTTCATTCCATGGCCTGGAGTCAAGCACAGAACCAGATGTGGTAAATCGAAGAGAAAAAAAAAATGAATTTGCCGGCCAATGCGCATTGGTTTTGACCGATTGGCAGCGGCGGACCAGTCTTTGGCCTTGTTCTTCTCATTTGAACACTCTAGAACTGCAAGAATAACAAGAAGAATGGAGAAAAGCCTCTTCTCTTGTACGAGTTTACCTGGTCGCTTTGAGCGCCCCGCCGTAATTCCCTCGCTTAAGCCGGGTGCCGTGAGATTTTCGGTTTTTTGGAGGTTTTGGACGATTTGAAAAGAGATTGAAGCACTGTTTCGAATTTTTTAGCTACTCATAAAAAATTTAGAATTTTAAAGTGTGAAAAATATAAAGTTGGCTGCGACAGCAGTGTTTGGAAGCACTTTTTCTAGCTTTTAGTACGGTTTTTTCAAGTAATTGGATTCATTTCGCATTTGATGAAGTGACTGTCACCCCAAAACAAGAGTAAATCGTACGAATCGTAGGGAAACATGTGTTTTCAAACGATTATGCGATATTATTCCACGCTTGGCTTGGCCGATCGTCGTCCGAATATTGTCATTTTGGTCTCGGCAATTGAACAAATAGAAAAAAAACCGTGTGGGTGTGTTGGAAAATAAATGGATAGTTTCTGTTCATCTTTAGAACTGAAGGATTATGAAGAATAGAAAGATAGAGGGATTTTTTTGTTTAAAAATGGTTTGAAGGAGGTCGTGTTTTATTTTTTTTCATTAATTCTCGCTGTGACTTTCCTTGAATTAAAAATTAACCTAAAGAATTTCTTGAGTGATCACTAATTGCCTAGTTCTTCCCAAAGAAGCATATTTTTTTCCTATAACTTTTTAATTTTTGATAATGAACGACTTTTTAACATACTTGATAAAAAAATCTCCAAAAAGTTTTTTCATAAAATTAACTCTAGAGTTAGTGTTTTTGCACCACAATCCAAAAAAAGGCTGTTGAAAAAATTTTTTGATTTGAAGTCCCTGAGCCAAATTCAGAGATTTGCTTCTTGCGTGAAGAATATCTCCTCTTTTTTTAAAATAAAATCAAAAAAACGATCTTGCCACCGAGAATACTAGTATTTCCCCGACAACTCGCTGATGTACTAGCTGTTGTGGCACACGCGGGATTCAGTCAGGTCTTTTGGCGGCGTTCGAGTGGCGACCCGAGGAACGATCTCACGCAATTCGTCGCCTTTTGACACGAATTGCCCCGCCGCAAAAATTGACTGTGTTTGCCGACGCGACACGGCGTGTCTTGTATTGTGCGGACGGAAAGGAAAAATCGGGGTCTTGCCAAAAAACTGTTTGTTCTTTCTCCTCTTTTTTTGCTGTTAAGAAAGTTGGAGGGGAATGTGTAAATGTGTACAGGCCGTGAAATGTGGACATTTTGAGTTGATTTTCAGTAGTGAGGACCTGAAAAACATTGTAAGAGGCTGGAAAGACTTTGAAAAACGAGATTTGATTATAGGAGTTCGTAGGAATTTTCAGAAATATTGAGGTTTTTTTGGAAAAAAATAAACTTCATGTTTTCTCAATTCCGTCGTTTGAAAAAAATCGGCAAAGATTTCATAAAAAAGAAAAAATTGGGGTGAGCACACTTGTCTGGAAATGAAAAATAAACTTGAAAAAGTTTCAAAATGGAAAATATGTCATTAAATAACTTTCTAGGTTTCAAAATTTGTTTGTTTTTTTCGCATAACTTTTTTTCACGTCAAGTCCACTGATTTTTCAGTTCCACATACTAATATTTGTCAAAAGTCCGGTTCTTTTAAACAGTTGAAAGCTTTTTCGAAAAAGAATTTTCGAGCGGAAAACCAGGAAATTCTTTGTTCCCGTCTGTTTCAAATGTTTTGACGCATCATCCGTGTGACTCACTTCACTTTTGCTTTTTTCTTTCCCGAGGTTTTGAAATCGTAGAACAAAAGATGAGAAGAAGAAGCGAGCCGCGAGAGAAAGGCGTTTGGAAAAGGAATGTGGGCTCCATGGAGAAGGCGCGAGATTAAGTTGTTCGAAAAGATTTGAGTTACTTTATGGGAATTTATTAATAATCAATTTTCATAGAAGAATAAGGCTGGGGTTCAAAATGATGGAAAAAAATCCGGCTCTGAAAAGTGCAGATACTTGAATTGAGAAGAAAGAAATACTCAATTAAAAAAATTTCTTCATAACATTTCTCACGGAAACAACAATGAACCCGATAAATAGTTGGAGATTTTCAGATTCTGAAGCCGTCGGAGAAGAAGGCCAAGTACCAGTACCAAGGAATGAACAGCGGGAGGCCGGCGGTCGCGGGTTCGAGGCCTGGAACCACCGGCGGCAAAAAATAACTCGCTTCCCTCTTGATTCCACCAATTCTCACGCGATTTTTTGAATTCCCCAACATTCAAACTCGAAACTTGAACATCTTTAACTCATTAATGTTATTATTTTCTCCTCCTCGTTTCCCCTTTGGATAACAAGTTCCTTCCTTTTTTCTTCAACGGGCCCAGCTTACTTCTTTTTTTCTGTGTGTGTCTGGAGGATTGGCTGCGCCTGTCCTCCTGCTCATTTTTCCTTTTTTTTATCTTTAGAAATAATCCAACGCGCCTTCCTTCATTTCATTGTGTTTAGACGTTTTGTTTTATTCCATGTTTTTTTAAATTAAATTTTTTTTCTATCAACCTGGTGTTGATCTTTTTCTACTCGTACAACTTCTGAATATTCTTCTGTGGCTTGAAGCGAAATTTTGAGTTTTTGGGAAGTTTCAGTCTTGATGAAGCGATAATGGTCTTTTTGAGCTCACTATCTGAATACTTTGAAAAAAATTGACAAGAAAAACCAGGAGAATTTATTCCAAAAAGTTTAATTCCAGTTAGTTTTTCTTGGTAAAAAAAGTCAGTTTTTAAGAAAAAGTCATGATATTCGAGCTCAATAAATGCCAACTTCAATTCTGAAGCTGAATTTTTCGAACTCCAATCCGTTCTTCTTATTGTTCTTTCTTATGCCTTTTATTTTCAGTGGTCTTTTTTGAAAGAAGTAACCTTTCTTTAAATGGAAACCCATTCACAGACAGTAATCTTTTACCAAACGAAACCCTGATTTTTCCACCAACTTTTCCAAGTTTTACTCGCTGTTTCTTATCATTTGATTCCATCTTTCCAATGGTTTTTTTGTCTATTTCGTTTATTTGGTTGGATTTCTGAACCTCTCCGAAGCAGCTATATTTATCTCAGTTACCAACTTTTTTCCGTCTCTTGTAATCTTCGAAAGGCTAAAATGTATTTATTATACAAATTGCTGATCGAGTTCAAGCCACTGTAGGGGTCACTAGGTGTTGTTTCTCTCTTTCTCTTATTCTTTTCTGAAAAAGTGGCCGATTTTTGTCTCTTCTCCTTGTTCTTCTCCTTCTACTCGTTTTTCTCTACTCGTCTTTAAAAAAAATAAATTGTTCTTTTGTGGATCCCTTGACCTTATCGGAATCATCGAAACTTGAATTTTGAAAGATTACATGGATATGAACAAAAAAAAAGTCAGTATAACTAGTTACTGTGCGGTAAAAATGCCGGCCTGCCACGCCCCTTTCAGCCCCCGCCCCTCTGCGCGGAAAGTTTGCCTCGTTTCTATTTCGGTCCTGCCGCCTGCTGCTTTTTTACCTGGAACTTGGAAATCTTTGTGAGTTTTGAAATTTTAGCTTTTTTGGCTCCTATTGAAATTAGGCATATTGGGGATTTTTTTTATTAGAAGTATTGGGTTGATTTTATTTTTAGAAGGTCGATATTTTGGACTTCTTTGAAAAACGGTCATTTAATGGAGCTCAGAGTTTTTTTTTTGGCATTTTTTTAAAAAAAGTTGAGGAAAAAGAGTTCATAATTCTGTGTGAAATGAAATGCTCTTTTACATCATTTTTGACTTCTTTTGCTTTTTCTCTTGGATTTTATGATATTTTCGAAAGCTGCTCATAAATTTCAAGGATCAAAGAGAAAAATAGAAAAAAACTTTCTATAATAATAAACTTTCGAGGAAAAAAATTACTGATCTTTGAATTTTTTTCGGTAGCGTTTTTGTAGGCTTTTTTTAGCCTATTTGGTTTTTGATGATTTTTTTATTTTCCTCGTCAATATTTATATGGAAGTTGATGTTTGGCTGAATTTTCAAATCTATAGAACTGGGATTGCTTCTGGGATGAAATGATTTTTTTCAACCCATCTTTTTTTAAAGGATCCTCAGCATGTGAATTTCAAATTTTTATAGAAAAAAAGGACATAAAAGTTTTTTTCCGAGAAAAATTCTAGAATTGTAGGAATTTTTACTTGATTTCTTTATTTTTGAATCTTTTTTTCGATTATTCATTTTCTTCCCACTTCTGTAAACTCTCGGACTCCAACCACTATAGTCAACATCCAAAAAAAAGGCTGTTTGGCTGAAAAATATGGGAAGAAATCGGCGCCGCCGTTCAAGAGGAGCACGTTCAGACGGCTCTTCAGAACCTTCAGTCCGATTTGTTTTTGAGCATCGAGAAGCATTTCGGAATTTCGCATTCTGAAGGATCTGAACGTCTTCTTCTTCTTCTCGATTCCTAGCCCTTTTTTTGGAGAGAAGTAGGCCTTCTTGTAGTCCTCGGACATTGCTCACGTGAACCGGACGTGGTCAGGACGTTTCTGAGGGATTCTAGGGATCACTTAAGAGTTCTGACGCTACTAAAGTGGTCACTGAAAATGCCCCGAGACTTCCGGTTCGTGTTACCAAGACTCGAGTCAGATCAAAAATCCTGTGGTTAAAGGCGCACAGACAAAGTTGATAAAGGTCTTATAAGAAGAGTTTTTTTTTTAATTTCATGGAGTTCCAGCGTGTGTTTTTAACGTTATGTTTGTAATCTTCTATCTTTCTCATTGGATACTTTATTCTTCCGAATTTAAACGATTTCCAGAGCTTGAGAAGCTTTTTCCGAAAGCTCTCTGTCTCTATAAAAAGCTGTAGTGGAGCCAAAAGTGCTCCTTTTTGAATTCAAACATTGTAAAAATCAAGTCAAACTTTATAAGTTCATTCATGAAGCTTCAGCTTGAGTAGATACGTTTTTTTTTTCAAAATATAACTCTTCTAAAGATTAGTTCTTCTCATAAAGCTTTTTATTATCTTATTTCTGAAACCGTGTTCAAAGTAATTTCAAAATTACCTCTGACTATCCAAAATTTAGCTATTTTTTTCTTTCTCTGACGGCTCTTTTTGGGTTCCGCGGAATGACAACTGAAATTATTTTCTCCACTCATTTTTTTCTCCATTTCAAAAAAAGAAGTTTAATTGAATAGGTAACAGAATAATTTCATACTTGGCACATCTCAACTTCATTGGTCATCAATAACGAGCGAAAAATAGCAGACTTAGCTAAAAAAATACGAAAAAACGAAAAAATTGGAAAATTAGCGTGAAGGTCAATGGAGCACTTTTGCTTCTTGCCATTTTTTGTCATTTTTTCGCTCATTTTTTTAAAACCATTATTTTTTGCTCTTGGTTTATACTTTTTCTGATGTTCTGCTTTTTTTTAAATGTCGATAATTTGAGGTTTTTAACGTAATTTCAGTAAAATTTGATTTTCTTCTTGCTATTTTTCATTAAACGAGCCTTTTTTTTTCTTTCTGATTCAGTCTTTTCAGAAATGTTTTCTTGATGTTTGAAGGGGCATACACATTTTTTAAAAATGGTTCTGATTAAAAGAACCGATCACGATGTTTTCATTCATATAAACGTTGGTTTTTTAAAAAGATTTTTTTTGAAGAGATTGTATTTACTATGACTTCTAGAGTAACCTTTGTTCATTTCGGAGTAATTATTACGTCGATTTCAAACTAACTTTTCATGAATAAATCACTTCTGTCAGTCAACCCCAACCATAGAATTCTCTACCTCAAAACAAAAAAAGGCGAAAAGAAAGCGAAACTTTCCAGTTTTCTTTCTTTTTTTTCGACCAAAGTACGACCTTTTACCCTCCAACAGAACAACAAAAAAAAGGCAAAAAACCGAAATTACCCGTTTCAAAATGCTCTCAGCGATAATTTGTTCCAAACCCCCTTCGAAACCTGATTTGCCCATTTTGGCGCATCCATTTTCCTCGCCAACAATTTTGAACCGAATTTGCCCCGATTTCCCGTCGTTTTCTTTGTTGGGAAAACGTTTTTCCCTTTCCTTTTGTTTCCGGTGTTAAGAGATTCCGTCTTTTGTTGCTTTATCAAATTAAATTCGAGGAATTTTTAATTGAAGCGAGCCTTTGAAAGTTTCAGTCGGTAGTTCTGGGTTTAAAGTTTGTTTCCTTTGTAGTTTTTTTAAAGTTTTTTGAGAAAATCTTCGAATAACTGACAAATTTATGAGCAAAAAACTACCATTTTTCGAAAAATTTTTAATTCAAAAAGGTTATTTTTTTCTGTAATTCTCAACTTTACATTTTATTAATGTTTCGAACCACTTATATAATTCAGTAATCCCTTCTCTATCAATTCTTGTTCACGGTCCGCAAGTGTGAAAAATTGCAAAACCAGGTCGCCTCGGCTTGAAAGACGTTTGCGAAGGTGAAATGGCTCGAAAAAGGTTTCTTATAGGCGCATCCGACCAGAAACAACTTGCGCATGATGGTGCCTTGAAGCACTTTAGGGAAAATTTAATCCAAAAATACTTTGAGCTCTACCCGAGATCATGGTGCTTCAAGAAGAAGCTGATTGATGCAATTTTTTTAAAAACTAACAATTAGTTATAGTCGATGTGCCACGACTTGAAATTTCATGGAACGACACTCCTTTGGGTGGCCGTGGCCGTGAAAGCACCTTGCCTTTGCGAATTTCGGTCGCGCTTTCCATTTTTTTCTTTCATTTGAAAAATTTCCCTGTTTTAATTACGTTTTAATAGTTTTCTTCGTGCCAAACTCATAATTATCTTTTTATAGTGGATAGACTGTTTCATTGATAAAAATAAAATAGAGTAATTTTCGAATTTTAAGAGAAAATGCGTTTATAATATTTGAAAGTTTTTCATGAGATGGTCTTTGGTTTTTGTTCAATATATTCCGTTATTTAACCTTCATTGAGCCTTTATCGACATTTCTTTTTTTCATTTCAAATAATGTAAAAAAATATCCCAATCAGAAATAAAATACACATTGAATGATTTTAAAAATTGAATGTTTCTACATCGACGAATTTTATTTTAAAAAAACAGATACATAATTTCAAAAGAAAAAAATTATTGTTTTTCTTGGACATTTCGTTCAGCACAACGTTTCCAATGTTCCAATTGCTCCCTGTTCACGCCCCATTTCTGACGCAAAGTTCAGCAATACGATTTATCTAAAGCTCCATTTAAAAAGGAACGAAAACCTTTCTTCAAATTATGGTCCATGTGCTCATGGAAGTAAACGTCTTCATTTTATAAAACACTCAATTTCTGAAAAACCATTAACGACTGCAAACAGAAAAAAACGATGAAAAACATTAAAAACATGGCCTTACACAGAAACTTTTTGTAGAATATTGTGGTGTTTACGGCCTATTTCACCCGCAAATCTTTTTGGTAAACCTTTGAAACCTTTTTTTGAGAAACGAGAAAAAAACAATATTAAAGCGATTGACGAATACATGATGTTTTTTTCAAACTTTTTATCGCTTTTTTTCGAGAAAGATTATGAAATTTGCCGTGTTCTTTTTGTTTACATTTGTACAACGCAATTCTTTGCAACGATAATAATACATTTTGAAGACATAAAACAATTAAAAAAACAATCGAAATTAGAATGAAAACCAAAAAAATTAGCGTGGCCGAGGTTGGCAAATTCGCAAGATGCGCGCTACCGCACAAATGGAAACAGCGGAGTGTCGTTCCATGAAATTTCAACTTGTGGGGGGCACATCGACTATACTAGTAGCTGTCTAAAAATGGTTTTTTTCTGAGTTCAAATTATCATTTTCTACCTTTCAGCTGTCCAAAAAAAAGTCGAAAAAACGATACCGTCATGAAAAAAATATCAAAAATTAAATAGCATCCAAAAGAAGCCTCGAACCGAAGCGATTCCCATCTTCTTTTCCGTTTTTTTTCCCGCCTCTTGACTCATGTTTCTTGACTTTGACACCTTTTCACTCAAGAGAACCAGTTATAACTAACACGAAAGTTCCATTTCTTGCCGAAATTAAAAAAGTCGGTCGATGACGTCATCGAGACAAAAAGAGCCGCGCAATAAAGGCGGGAAAAAAAAGAAGTTTGGCGCCCGTGTCACATGTCATCCGACAAATATATACTACTTCCGACGCCCCCAATTTCGCAGTAGATTTCGGGATAGTTCCATTGCATAATATTGCTCATGTTAGAGACTTCTGTGATTGTTTTACGCGAAAGTTTGAAGTTAAAAAAACTAGAAAAATTTGTTTAAATGTATCGCTATATATTTTTTTCTTATTTCTTCAAAGTTTCAAAAGTTTTGTGCTTTTTTCAAAAAAAAAATTCAGTCCCTTCCACTGCTTCTCTTTTTCTTCCCTCGCCGGTTTACGGTTTCAAAGTTGTTTTTTTAAAACATTTTTGAGGCGAAAAGTGATGATAATATGCAAATTTATCGAATGTAGTTAATAATTTGCAGTATAATGGTTTCTTCGAACTTCGTTTTAAATAAACTATTGGACATGATGAAAAACTGTCTGTCTAGTCTGCGCCTTCTTTTCCATCGCCTGCGAGGTTATAGAACTGGGAAAATTTTTAGTGGCCACTATTTTGAGTTTTAGTGACCACTATAGAGGTTCTCTATTTCTCTATTTAGTGGCCACTCTAGTAGTTCCAGTAACTCTGATAATTTTAAAACAAACAGATTGGACCAGTTATGTTGATCCATTGACCCCTAAAGTGGCCACTAAAATTTTTAGTTGTCTAGTAGTAGCACTTAGACCCCTATTGTGGCCACTAAAACGTCGAAACCCTATAGTGGCCATTAAAAATTTTCCCAGAAGCATGAAAAAAACAAAAAAAAAACAAGAGAGTGTCGCCGAGGGAGTGGAGAGCGCAGAGAAATCAGAAAATCTTTCAAGTTTTCGCTCAAAAAGTCTATTCTTCTTCAGAAAATATTAGATTTTCACAAATTTTTTCATTTTTTTCCCTTGTAGTTTGTGCTGCCGAAAACGAACAGTAATTTCTGTTACTTTTTTGCGGACTTCTCGAATTTCCGCTCTTTTCATCTCATGTTAGCAGACATCCGTTTGAACTCGAAAAAAAAGATCGTTGACGCCTGATGTTTGGACCTTTTGACAGTAATACTTTCACTATTTGTCCATCATCTTGAGCTTTTTTCAGGCTCATTTTGGGTCTTCCAATGGTTATTCAGTCTCTCAATAGGTCAGATTTTTTTCCATTTTTTTTGGAGTTTTTTTCTGGCACAGAAGATAAAAAAACGAAATCTAAAAAAATTCGAAAAAAATGCGTGGTTTTATGTTATTTTTTTCGTTAGAGATCAAAAAAAGTAGGGTGTGAAAAATAATTATTTTGATCAGAGAATGGTAAAAGTTTCTTTTTTCTTAACCCATAGGTTTTGAACTCTCCTTTTCTTTTTCTCCAAATTTTGAGATTTTTTTGATTTCTAACAATTTTTTTGTCGGTTAATATGCTCTAAAGTTTTTGAAGAGCTTGTGAATTTTTTTAAAAAAATCAAACAGAAGTTTTTTTGAAGATATGGTTAAGCTACCTATTTTTAAGGTTTATTTTGTAGAGCAATCAATTTTTTTCTGGTTCTCTAGCTTTTTTTCATTTGACCAAGCAACCATTTTCAATAGAACTACATGGTATCTAAATAGTCGGATGATAAATCCGGTTACTGTCTCAAAATCTTTGATTTCGGAATGATTTTCTTCAAGAAGGCAAAACTATAAGTTATTTTTTTATTCTTACTTTTTTTACTTGTACTCTGACATTAAGACATCTAGCCGCGAGAAAAACGACGAAATAGTGTGTGTCAGAGAAAGAGTTGTGGCGCCCTTTTGGCGCTTATACCGTGTGCAATTTGATTCCGCGAAATGCAAAATGATCTCTGACTCTCCAAAATTTTGTGCTCTTTTCCTTTCTCTAATGTGTTAGATCACCTCTAGACCGGCTCAATGATCAATCTGTTCAAAGCTGAGGTCAAGCTTCAAAATAAGATCAATCTGTTCAAAGCTGAGGTCAAGCTTCAAAATCGCATCAATCTGTTCAAAGTCCCAACCTGAACGCCGAACCAGAATCACATGCCCGATGTAACCCAATCTGCGGGCTATCGATGTCGCAGAAACATCTAAGAGTCCCTAACGTGCGACGGCGAACAAGAAGGAACGGTCGTCGAGGGGACAAAAGAGCGCGTGATTCCGGAATGCGAGTATATTCACGCGGCTCCTCCTCCGTCGTCGTTTCATCCTGCTGCTCGCGGAGCAAACAATTCTCGCGCAGCCTTCTCTCCACACAACCGTTTCCTCCGACAGCCACGGGCGCCTCGAAAAAACTTTTTTCCCTTCAGCCTTTTTTCCAGGCTTTCCTCTTGAAGATATCGATCGGTTGGCGGTTGATTCATCAGTTTTTCTTTTTTCTGAACTTTTTTTGAACCTTGATCAGTAAATTTTCTTGTGAAAGGCTTGATTGATAAGTTTTTGTGAACAACCGTTTCCGCCACGAGAGCTTCCTTCGGAAAATTTTTCTTGAGCCTTTTTTCCAGGCTTTCCTATTGATGATATTGGTTCATCTTTTTTTTCTTTTTTTTGTGGACTTTATTTTGTCAAAAATCTTTTCCTGACCCGTGATCTATCAGAATCTTTTGAAAGCCTCGATCGATAAGTTTTTATGAACAACCGTTTCCACTACGGGCGCTAGAAAACTCTATCCTTCAGCCTTTTTCTCTTTTTCAAAATATCGTTCGGTTGACGGTCGATTTGTTCCACCTTTTCCGAATTTTTCTCGAATTTTTTTTTGTTTGGAGCCGTCTGAAACTTTATGCAGCAGTAAAGACTGCTCAAATCTATTTTTCCTTTATTTAAACTCAATTGGTCGAAAGTTGCAACTTTCTAAAGCTTCATTCATCAGTTTACTGTATGTAGTAGTACAGTTTCTTATATTTTCTCATGTTTTCTAACCTTTTTTGCACAACTTTTCTTTATTTATTATTTTTTGAGGCACTTTTCGGATTCACTGTCAGTTATGCTTTGAATTTCTACCGATTCTACTTCTTTTCTCAACTTTTTTCAAAAGTTTTCCCAACCTTATTCGAAATTATTTTTTTAAAAAAGTTTGGCTCGAAACTACCGATCGATTGTTTCTCTATCATTTCTGGACGAACCTTTTTTTCTTGAAGCCTGGCCCTACAGTACGTTGGCTTTTTAAAACATCGATCGAGGAAGTTTTTGTGATCCGTATGTTATTTTAGTGTATTCTCTGTTTCAATTTTTCTTCAAATCTTCTCTTTTTAATTCTCATCACTTAAAAGTGAAATCTCCAGCAAAAAATGTTTGTTGCCTTTGAATTGGGAGATCCAAAGCGTTTCAACCAACTTTCATCAAAAGTTCGACCGGACTGAAAAATTTTTTAGGGACCACTATAGAGGCTCGCCAAGGACTACTTGGAGAGGACACTAAAGTGGCCACTATAGAGGTTCTCTTTTTAGTGGCCACTTTGGTAGTTTTTCATCCAATATTATTTTTAGTAACTCTAATAATTTTAAAACAAACAGATTGGGCCAGTTATGTTGATCCATTGACCCCTAAAGTGGCCACTAAACATTTTTCCAGGAGGCCAAAAAACGCTTGCTTGTCAGAAAAAAGTATCATTTATTTTTTAATAAGCAGTCCTTTCGAAGATTTTATTTGCTCAACCCAGCCTCTTTTCATAAATCTTCGCTCAAATGATCATCGTCATCTTTCTGAAGTTGTTCTTTCATTCTTCAGTTCATTTTCAAGTCGAGAATAATCTTCCAAGAGACATGTGATTTTCTGTTATTATCCGATCCGACTAGTTTACAAGTTGGAGACTTTACAATGTCAGCTCGAATTTCAACTTTGACGAGTTTGAAAGAGATTGTTATCCTGATATTTTTAGACTTGTTGGCTAGTTTTCGAACGTTTTTCTCGAATTTCTTTTCATGGGAATTTTCCGATTTTTAAAGGTCTGACTATTCTTTGAAATTGAAAACATTCTATTTAATTCTCGGGGTTTGATTTCATCGTTTTCAGAATTTTCTTGGTGTAGTTTTTTATTGATTCAAATATTTTGTTTGAAACTCTCATTTTGAAAGGGGTTTGTAGATTCCTAGACGGAGAGAAAATCGATAAAAGATACGATTTTTGTGATGATTTTCCGATCAGCTTCTATTTTTCTAGGTATAGTTCGTTCACCGCGACTTGAAAATTAGCGAGTGTCTGCGTCTCTCTGATCTCTAACCTGGTTAGAGAAAAATTAAAAATAGCACCTCGAGGCGAGAGACGAGGAGGGCGCAGAGAAATCATTTCCCTTTCAAGTCAAGAAAAAAGGACTATACTGATCTACTTTGAATCAAAATTGAGAATTTTTTTGAACTTTTTTTCTTATTTTCTTTGAAAGCCATAGAAAAAAATTCAAAAAAATGGTTTCGAGATTTTTTTGAACTTCCTCTGCTTGAAAAAATTGAAATTCGACTCAAAATTATATCCATTTTATTCAAATCCAAGTTCAAAATAAGGAACTTTCTGAAAGTCCAAATACTTTGACCTGATTGCCGAAACCAGTCGGCCCCAAAGTCTAAACCCTTTCCCCTCCCCGGCCAAGAATCAAAGACTCAAGCTCGGCTTGACCTCGATCCCACAACACGTGCAGGACGGCCCGCAGCTGTTTTCTTCTTCGTTTTTGCTGTTTTCCAGGCTCGTTTTCCTCCGTCGTTTTGTTTGATACCCACCCTTTTGTTTTACCGCCGCTGTTTGAGCCGGTTCAGGTAACCTGGTTCGTGTCTTTCCCTTGGAGATCTTGTTGACTTCCAGAGCTTTTCGCCTTGGATAAACCTTGTCTCTTGTAAACAGTCAACAAAAATGAGTACTGCTAACTTTTTTTTCTGATTATCTCAAGTTTTCAATTTTATTCAAGTTTTGTTTGAGTTCCTTTTCAAAGAGGTCTTTGTCAAACGAAAGTCGCTGGTCGCATTTGGAATGGCTCAGCGCGTTGCGGTTCGGTCTATCTCCCACTTGAATGCCTCATCTGAAATTCATAATTCCATCTTGCGGAAGTCGCTTTAGAGTCGGGCGCAGCTTATAAGTAACCGAATTGCACCAGTTACGCCTTGAGCCATTCCAAGTGCGACCATGGGCTTTAAAGGAATCTAGATTTTTAGAAAATCCTGTCTGAAATTTTGAAAAAGCCTCATGAAAGGGATAGTTAAAAATTCGAATTTCAAAAACTCAAAAAGTGAGTTTCTGAATCATTTTCCTTCTCAAGAAGCCAAAGCAAAAAGTTTTTTTTGAACTGGGAAAATTTTTAGTGGCCACTATAGAGGCTCGCCAAGGACTACTCGGAGGGGACACTAAAGTGGCCACTAAACTCACCTCTATAGTGGCCACTGTTTTTCCGCTTTAGTGGCCACTATAGTGGTTCTCTTTTTAGTGACCACTTTAGTAGTTTTTCATCCAGTATTCTTTCCAGTAACTCTGATTTTTTTTAAACAAACAGATTGGACAAGTTTTGTTGATCCATTGGCCCCTAAAGTGGCCACTAAAATTTTTAGTGGTCTAGCAGTAGCACTTAGATCTCTATAGTGGTCACTAATTTTTATCCCTTTAAGTGGCCACTAATTTGATTACTATAGTGGCCACTAAAACGTAAAAACCTTATAGTGGCCACAAAATTTTTTTTCAATATATTGAAAAAATATTTCTTGCAAGAGTTCGATCGAAAACAGGACGCATCTTTTTGAAGTATTCAAGAGGTTTGCCTGAAACGTATGAAGAAAGGCCAAAAATGTTTTGGTTAACAATTTGTTTCAAGTCCTAGCTTCAGTATAGGCGGAAGTTCTGGAGAGTTACCATGGCTCCTCGGGCGCAACATGTGCATTTCTCGGTTTAAAATACATTTCGAAAAGCGAATAAAAAGGCAAAAGAAACAAGGAAAAAAGAATCTTGTTTGATTGGTGCCGGCACAGCTGTCGGCCCCAACCGGCGTCGGGATCTTTTTTCGATTAATCATTTTCGGTCTCTATTTTCAAGCTTTTCGATCCTGGGCTCATGGATTCTGAGATCACACTCAATGTTTTCCGAATTTCAATTTTTTTTCTTAATAAATCGCCTTGAGGATCTTCTAAAAATCAGAAATTTTTCGGGGTCATGCAAAATTGCGAGTTTCTGGAGAGTGAGAAGTCATTGGAGTTCAGAAATTTCCAATTTTTCCAAGAAATATGAGTTAAAAACTTTGGCAGAAGGTTTTTTTCAAACTTCTTAAACTTTAAAGCTTCTTCAAAAATTTCCTTCTGCTTTTTTTAGCAGGGAAGCTTGACATTTTTTTCGAAACTTTGGACTAATTTTTTTCGAACAGTTTCATCTTTTAATATGGAACATCTTCTACACGGATGTGTCTGATTCCGGAAAAATTTTCAATTTAAAAAAAGAAAGGGTTGGTATTTTGAAAAATATGTTTCCTAAACAATTTTCGAATGAAAGACATTAGTTTTAAAATATATTTATTTTTAACCTTTAAAATCTCAAATTGAAGGATTTCATGGAGAGCCTTCTCAATTGAATGGAAAAAAAATGTTTTTTAGGAGAAGAATCAAAACAGGAAGTGGATAGTAATAGAGAGCCCCTTGATGGAAAATCCAGTTGAAATTTGAGAGAAATTCGAGATTTTCCCTTTCAAGCCAAGTACTTCCTTAAGGGTTTTAGAAGGGAAAAGCTTCATTTTTCGAGTCTATAAAAAATTTTAAACTTGAAATGCGATTTTCTCTTTCTTAATGTCTTCCCCCGTCGTGCAAATCTCACTGAGTCTTCATTTCGACTGAAAAAAAGTAGGGAAATTTTAATTTTTCTTGCTATTTTTTTCGAGTTTTTTTCTCGCGGCTACATTATTTTTGAATTTTTCCGCTTTTTTTCACAAATAATCTAAAAAAATTCCCACACTGTTAATCAATTTTATAATTAATAAGCATGTTTCTCTAATCTGAAAAAAATGTGGGAAAAATAAAATTTAGAAAAAAACTCGAACATTGGTAACGCGAAACGGACGTGCTCCGGACGTTTCTGGGCAATTCCAGGGGTCACTTGAGGGTTTGGAGCTACTAAAGTGGTCACTAGAAATACCCCGAAACGTCCGTTTCGCGTTACCAATGTCTGAGAATGTGAAAATAATAAAATCTTTGGTGAAATTTATTTTTTGAAGACTTCTTAACCCAGAAACATACTAAAGTAACAGCGTT